AAGAAATAGAAAGCCTGAACAGACCCATAACCAGTAAGGAGATTGAAACAGTCATCAAAAATCTCCAAACAAACAAAAGCCCAGGGCCAGATGGCTTCCCGGGGGAATTCTACCAAACATTTAAAGAAGAACTAATTCCTATTCTCCTGAAACTGTTCCAAAAAATAGAAATGGAAGGAAAACTTCCAAACTCATTTTATGAGGCCAGCATCACCTTGATCCCAAAACCAGACAAGGATCCCATCAAAAAAGAGAACTACAGACCAATATCCTTGATGAACACAGATGCAAAAATTCTCGCCAAAATACTAGCCAATAGGATTCAACAGTACATTAAAAGGATTATTCACCACGACCAAGTGGGATTTATTCCAGGGCTGCAAGGTTGGTTCAACATCTGCAAATCAATCAATGTGATACAACACATTAATAAAAGAAAGAACAAGAACCATATGATACTCTCAATAGATGCTGAAAAAGCATTTGACAAAGTACAGCATCCCTTCCTGAACAAAACTCTTCAAAGTGTAGGGATAGAGGGCACATACCTCAATATTATCAAAGCCATCTATGAAAAACCCACCACAAATATCATTCTCAATGGAGAAAAATTGAGAGCTTTTCCGCTAAGGTCAGGAACACGGCAGGGATGTCCATTATCACCACTGCTATTCAACATAGTACTAGAAGTCCTAGCCTCAGCAATCAGACAACAAAAGGAAATTAAAGGCATCCAAATTGGCAAAGAAGAAGTCAAACTATCACTCTTCGCAGATGATATGATACTATATGTGGAAAACCCAAAAGACTCCACTCCAAAACTGCTAGAACTTGTACAGGAATTCAGTAAAGTGTCAGGATATAAAATCAATGCACAGAAATCTCTTGCATTTCTCTACACCAACAACGAGACAGAAGAAAGAGAAATTAAGGAGTCAATCCCATTTACAATTGCACCCAAAACTATAAGATACCTAGGAATAATCCTAACCAAAGAGGCTAAGAATCTATACACAGAAAACTATAAAGTACTCATGAAAGAAATTGAGGAAGACACAAAGAAATGGAAAAATGTTCCATGCTCCTGGATTGGAAGAATAAATATTGTGAAAATGTCTATGCTACCTAAAGCAATCTACACATTTAATGCAATTCCTATCAAAGTACCATCCATTTTTTTCAAAGAAATGGAACAAATAATCCTAAAATTTATATGGAACCAGAAAAGACCTCGAATAGCCAAAGGAATATTGAAAAAGAAAGCCAAAGTTGGTGGCATCACAATTCCGGACTTCAAGCTCTGTTAGAAAGCTGTCATCATCAAGACAGCATGGTACTGGCACAAAAACAGATGCATAGATCAATGGAACCGAATAGAGAGCCCAGAAATAGACCCTCAACTCTATGGTCAACTAATCTTTGACAAAGCAGGAAAGAATGTCCAATGGAAAAAAGCCTCTTCAGTAAATGGTGTTGGGAAAATTGGTCAGCCACATGCAGAAAAATGAAATTGGATCATTTCCTTACACCACGTACGAAAATAGACTCAAAATGGATGAAGGACCTCAATGTGAGAAAGGAATCCATCAAAATCCTTGAGGAGAACACGGGCAGCAACCTCTTCGACCTCAGCCGCAGCAACATCTTCCTAGGAACATCGCCAAAGGCAAGGGAAGCAAGGGCAAAAATGAACTATTGGGATTTCATCAAGATCAAAACTTTTGCACAGCAAAGGAAACAGTTAACAAAACCAAAAAACAACTGACAGAATGGGAGAAGATATTTGCAAATGACATATCAGATAAAGGGCTAGTGTCCAAAATCTATAAAGAACTTAGCAAACTCAACACCCAAAGAACAAATAATACAATCAAGAAATGGGAGAAGACCTGAAGAGACATTTTTGCAAAGAAGACATCCAGATGGCCAACAGACACATGAAAAAGTGCTCCATATCACTCGGCATCAGGGAAATACAAATCAAAACCACAATGAGATATCACCTCACACCAGTCAGAATGGCTAAAATTAACAAGTCAGGAAATGACAGATGCTGGCGAGGATGCGGAGAAAGGGGAATCCTCCTACACTGTTAGTGGGAATGCAAGCTGGCGCAACCACTCTGGAAAACAGCATGGAGGTTCCTCAAAATGTTGAAAATAGAACTACCCTATGACCCAGCAATTGCACTGCTGGGTATTTACTCTAAAGATACAAACGTAGTGATCTGAAGGGGCACATGCACCCGAATGTTTATAGCAGCAATGTCTACAATAGCCAAACTATGGAAAGAACCTAGATGTCCATCAACAGACGAATGGATAAAGAAGAGGTGGTATATATACACAATGGAATACTATGCAGCCATCAAAAGAAATGAAATCTTGCCATTTGCGACGACGTGGATGGAACTAGAGGGTATCATGCTTAGCGAAATAAGTCAATTGGAGAAAGACAACTATCGTATGATCTCCCTGATATGAGGGAGAGGAGATGCAACAGGGGGGTTAAGGGGGTAGGAGAAGAGTAAATGAAACAAGATGGGATTGGGAGGGAGACAAACCATAAGTGACTCTTAATCTCACAAAACAAACTGAGGGTTGATGGGGGCAGGGGGTTGGGAAGGGGGGTGGGAGGGGAGGGTGGGGTTATGGACATTGGGGAGGGTATGTGCTATGGTGAGTGCTGTGAAGTGTGTAAATCTGGCGATTCACAGACCTGTACTCCTGGGGATAAAAATATGTTTATAAAAAAAAAAAAAATATGTTTATAAAAATTAAAATAAAAAATAAATTAATTAATTTAAAAAAATCAATGTAAAACAAATGATAAAGTATAACTTTAATTCATAAGACTACTGGATATTTTTAGATTATCAAACATGCATGCATACTTATATACAAACAAGTTTACTTCTAAATCATTATTGGTACGGAATCTCACCTATATTAAAGAAGGTAATTCTTCCAAAACTGGTAAGTAAATATATTTTCAAGTAAAAAAAAAAAAAAAAACTAACAGCATTTGTAAAATATGTTTATCTAAAACATATTTGGAAAAATAAATATTTAATATAGCCAGGAAAATCTCAGGATAAGAGAGTAATAAAATGAGGAGATACAGCACCTAATACTAAAATTATAATCAAAAGGTACAGGGGAAGAAGTGGTTAAGCAGCTAGACTTTAGTCTATTTCTTTCTATATTGGGGGGGGGCGGAAAGTAGGTAACCTACCTGTAATCTTTTTGTAAATATGCTAAACATAGACTTCTTCACTAACAAATTAATGGTACTTGATAAGGGGAAGAGCCCTTTGCTTTGCCTGCGTTTAGCAAGATATTCCTGGTCTAAAACTGCCACAGTAAATGATTCTAGAACTTTCGGATTGGTCTTTCAGACATGGCTTCCTGGAAAATGTTACCTAGGGGTATGAAATAGTACAAATGGAGATGTTTTACAACTGAGTTGGCTTGTTCTGTGTAAATGATGCATTTATACATATGACTTAAAACCTCATATATTTTATAAGGCATGTCCAAGATGGGAAAAAAGGACCTAGGCATCTGCACTGAGACTCCAGAACCTCTCTCTCTGGTTTGCTATATAACTTGGTCTTCTAAAAGAAATCAGGACCCCTGGAAAAAGTTAACTCCAGGGATGGAACAACATAAAAATAGCATGAGTCTGGAATGTCTTCTTGGACAGAAAAAAAGAAACTGCTCAAAGACTGATGGGATTGTCAAAGAGACATAGGAGTCAGCTTAAAAGGTCTCCTAAGAGTAAATCTGGGACAATTTAAGAATCAATGAAAAATAACAAAAATAATAGATGATAACAAATTGAACAGAAAAAGGATCCATGAATCCACACTGATATAAATCCATAAATGGAGAGGTAATTTTCTGGGTCATGGTGGTGATAGTGTTTTATAACAGAAAACCAACCAACAAATGTAAACAGAATAATGCAGTTAAAAAATCACAATTAAGAATCATCAGAGTAAAATTAATCCAGTGAAAAATACTAAAGGAAGCAAAAACTAGCAAGTAAAATTGACTTGAGAACAGGATTTTACATACTATCAAAGTATCTCTTCACAAAATATTTATTGATAACAAAGAGAATAAAGTAGCAAGACCTATATATATCATATACTACCAATGGGATGCAGTTAAAAAAAACAGTTTTCGTGATACTACAGCAAATATATATAAAATATATAAAAAATAATATATATAAATATACATGATATATATAAACATGTATATAGAGGATTAACACTGAACAGAACTAAATTGAGTGGATTCTACATATCAGATTAGAGTATAATATTTTAAATTATCAAGATCATAAAAGCCTAGAGAAGATTAAGGAATCATTCTAATTCAAAAGACACTAGGAAGAAATAACTACGTATGATACACGATCCTGTCTGGAATTTTTCCTATAAAAGATGGTCTGGAACAATGAGCAAAAAAATAGGAACTCTGAGTGGAAGTTATATTGAGGTTCTCTGTGAAATTCTTAAAACAGTTTGAAATAGTTTAAACAGTAATTCTGAAATAGTTTAATTCTTTTAACCAAGAAACAGCTGGAAAAAGACAATTAGAAAATGCAGCTGCAGCACCATGGGCAGAAGAATGCACATTCAAAGGTCCCCAAAGCATGTAAGACCCATTTGCACTGTTCTTAGAACACTCGTATTCTCAGAACGCTGTTGCTAAAACCTACATGAAACATCTCAAGTACAAAACTGTACTACACAAGCTGTAACCTCAGAATAAAGATAATAACCATAAAATGAAGAGTAAAAACAGCCTACTGGCCATTCAGGTCTAATTCTGCTAGTAAGGCTATTTTTTTAAATCATACCATACTGAAACTAGTAAGGTGTTGATAATTACCCATTCTCATCTATTTGCAGACTATATTTTAATAACACTAAATTGTACAGTATGAATTTTTATAGAGAAAATTTAGTGCAATTGCCTAAGGAGTACCTGGAGAGAACCCACTGTGACACCATTCATATGAGTCCAGAACAACAGGGTGCACCTTGGTCCCGTGCGTGAAATAACAGGAGTGAGTAGATCAGCCATGTCACCAAATTTTCCATTTGAGCTATCAGCATACAGGTACCAGCCATTTGTGGTATTTCTGCAGAAAGTACAGTGTGTATCAGATTTACAAAAAGAAGAAAATCATAAAATATAATACAGTTCATCACTGACCACGTTTTATGGTTCTGTAAGTTTTCCTAGAAGCATAATAATGTTTTATAGCATAACGATGATTCACAATCTTCAGCAGAAATAATCTACTGCTTTTTTCTTGTAGCCAGGAGGATGCCACAGTTGGTTCGTTCAAGACTAACTCCATCTGATCAGTTTCTGGGGGCTGGGGACAAAGGTCACAGGCCTTAGCCTCATCTCATCCCAGAGGCACTGGGACAGGAGAGCAGAAATTCTGTCCTCCTGCCCAGATAGGGTTTGCCCACCATGGCTGCTTTTCTGAGTAAATCCAATGTTTACTTAAGAAATACCACGTTGAGGGCACCTGGGTGGCTCAGTCGGTTAAGCGTCTGCCTCCAGCTCAGGTCGTGATCCCAGGGTCATGGGATAGAGCCCCCCCATCAGGCTCCCTGGTTTGTGGGGAGCCTGCTTCTCCCTCTCCCTATGCCTACTGCTCTTCCTGCTTGTATTCTCTCTGTCAAATAAATAAATAAAATCTTTTAAAAATATAAAAAAGAAGGAAGGGAGGGAGGAAGGTGGGAAGGAAGGAAGGAGGACTGTGTTGAGAGCTGGAGAAGAAAGATGCCCAACATTGTGGACATCTGACTCTCAGCCAGGCCCTGGTCTCCTTTCCGGCACTGCCAGTGGGGTGTCCCAGAGCAAATGAACAAAGATGGCAAGGACAAGGACCATATGCCCTGCACTCCCTTTGCTCCCTGATCCTGTGGTACAAAGACCACTCACCACCTTCCTCAAAGCCTTGCGCCTGGGCATTCCCTGCTTCTATCAGTCCCTTCCTCCAAGGTTCTCAGCTCCTTGACCTATCAGCTCTCTCCTAGAAAGTCAGGGTTTGGAGCAGTAAGATTATTTTTGCTTGAGTCTTTTTTCTAAGGAAAGGTAAAGAGCACTGTGGTAATCTTTATGCTGTTGCAGTTTACTTTTTTTTAGAAAACAGATCTTAATAGCCTGGATGTCTGAGTTTCAGCATCAGAGTATCTTTTGGAAACTTGGAACAGCAAAAGTTCCGCCTCTACAGCCTAAGGAGGGGACCCCTCACTCTCTGCCTCACCCCTCACTCGTGCTTGCTCCCCGCTGCCTGTGTTTCCAGGCCGTCCGTCGCGTGCACCGCTCACCTTTGATCCTGCTTGCGTCTGCACCCCCCACATATATGGGGGGCACTGGTGGGTGTTGGGCTATTACTCTCCCCAGATTCCTTTCCCTGCCCTTGGTCTGTCTGGTGGCCCCTAGACAGTCACCTAGGAACTTGCCCATCCTCCCACAATGGGCTGAGACATAGTTTTGGGGATGCCAAACCCATCTCTGATCCTGCCTGCTAGTTTTGGAGGACAGGGGTTTCCGGTCTAGAGAGATGTCTTCAGAGGGGAAACCAGGAAGTAGGACTAGAGGGTCGGTTAACATAAGCTTCCAGAAGTGAATCCACTGCCACTGGTTGCCAGATGTGTCCACATCTTTTTCCATGAGAGCCCACAGGCGGAAGGGAGTTGATTGAGGAATGTTTTAAAGAAATCTTTTGTGCCCTAGGAGCCCTAAGCAGGAAAGCAGCTTGCAATGATTTAACATTTGTGTGTGGTCAACTCAGGGGCAAGAGCCTTTAGCCTAGGAACAAAGTGAGTTTCAAATACTAGATAATAAATCCATTTTTCTTTATTTTCTTTTTTTAAGCAGAAGCTGGTAATCCAGGACCTACGTGTGAACAGCTTTATATGAATATTTTTGTACATGGGTTTCTTGGATTGGCGTGATACGTTATATTTAAGCTCCTTGAACACTGTGGATCCCCCTAGTGTGGATGAATGACTGAGGCTTTGTAAATTCAGGGATGTTTGTGTGAATAAAGTTATTTGATGGCATCAAAGAAGCCAAAAAAAAAAAAAAAAGGAGCGAGAGAGAGGGAGAGAAAGAAAGAATTACTCTACTATTTTGATTTACAATCCATGTATCAGTTGGTACAATGTGTACAAATTATGCAAAAGGTTGAAATTGCCAGTTCTAATCTGTAATTACTTGGTTGTGTGCTTTTTCTTTGTTTTGTTTTTTATAATATTGCTAATAATGTCAGCTTGTATGGCTTTTTTTTTCAACATTTAATTTTTTTACTGAAGTGTAACTGACAATGTTATTAGTTTCAGATGAATCACATATTGACTTGACAATTCTAAACATTACTCAGCGCTCACCATGATAAGTGTAGTCACCATTTGTCACCATATATTATTACAACATTACTGACAATATTCCCTATGCTGTACCTTTCATCTTTGTGACTTACTTACTTTATAATTGGAAATTTAAAGTTTGTACCTCTCAATCGATTTTGCCTATCCCCCCCATCTACTTCCCCTCTAGAAACCACCAGTTTGTTCTCTGTATTTAAGCCAGCTTGGTTTTCTGTTCATTCATTCTTTAGATTCCACGTGTGAGTGAAATCATATTTTCATGTGTGTAAAAAGGACTCTAAAGAACTGAATACTTTTAGAAAAGGCACATAAAGAAGAAAAATATATATATAAAATTAAGCATGTAAAATAGGAAACTGACCTGGGGTTCTACTTAGAAGTCTAAAAGGTTTTCAAGGTTCAAGTTTAATCTCTACTAATTTAGGTCAGTTTTTTAAAATATTGTTAATATTTTAATAAGCTGGTAGATAATTTTTAAAGTGTGTCTTTTTCTCCTACCTCTGAATCAAAGAGGAAAAGGTGGGATGAAAACAACTGAATATCAATATAATCTTGCCATGAAAGATAGAGTTGATGCCCCCACTTTAAATATCAATTCCAAAAAGAAATAATAAAACATTAAAGACAGCTAGGTAACACACAGTCTTCTGAAGTATTAAATGAAGAGGTGATTCCCCACAGTTTGGGCATTTTTGCGCATTTTGATTAATTAGATTTCTTACCACTTTCTCGCTTACGTATTATGCTAGATACTATAGAATGTAAATTTGCTACTTATTAAAACCATTTTTATCTTGAAAGTTTCATCATTTTTCTTGAGGAAAGAAATGTGAATCACTAATAGCAAATCAATGGAGAAAAACACGTAAGTATTCATTCAACCCCTACATATTTATCATCAGTCTCTGCAGTTTTGCCTGCTGGAGGCCCCAGGAATGGGATTGTGGGCAAAGCATACAACAGGGGTTGGTCTCTGACCTCATCATTTACTAAGTGGACAACATTAGGCAGGTTAGTTAACCTCTTATAACATATTAGTTTCTTCATTTATGAAATGTTCCATATAACGTCTTAAGAATTAGAAATAAACGGTGCCTGGGTGGCTCAGTCACTGAGCATCTGCCAATGGCTCAGGTCATGATCCCAGGGTTCTGGGATCGAATCCTACACCGGGCTCCCTGTTCCATAGGGGGTCTGCTTCTCTCTCTGCTATTCCTCCAACTCATTCTCTCAATCTATCTCTCAAATAATAAACAAATATTTTTTTTAAAAAAGAATTAGAAATAAAGGAACATCTAAAACAGTACCTGGCCTATCTTATATATTTAATAAATGACAGTTGTGATTTGTGGTTATGTTTATGTCATTAGTTGCTGCTAATGGAATAAAGAGTTTAGTGTCCTACAAACCACAGAGGGTATGAGTAAAGATCATTTGTTAAGAGACAGGATTATTAAATTAATTTGAATTAATGTCTCAATACATAAGCACTTCTAGCTTTGTTCCTTGTGTGCTTAATATCCCAGGATCCTAGGGATATCAAGAACAGAAATTAATATATAACTGATTCACTGATTTATAGATTCACTGAGATCTAGCACAATTTCTACAGATATTTTTTTCCCAGATTGGCAAGCAGATATTAAGCTTCATATGGAAATCCAAAGACAAAGAATAGCCAATTTTAATGTAAAGGAGAACAAAGTTAGAGAATTTATTGACAGATGTATTCATTATAAAGGTGGAATAATCAAGACACAGAGATACTGGAGTAAAGACAGGCAAATGGACCAGATAAATGGATGGAATAGTCCTAACACCCATTCATATATATATGTGCACACCTGACTTATGAAAAGTTTGGCTCTTCAGAGCACTAAAGGAAGGACAATCTCTTCAATGTGTACTGAATAAATTAGGTAGCAATGTGGGGAAAAAAAACAAAACCTGCCCTTATTTCACAGCCTTCAAAAATAATAAATTCCGGGTAGATGGCACCTGGAGTGTAAAAGGTCAAACAATAAAGATTCTCTAAGATGATCTAATAAAAACGTCATGATGTGAAAGTGAGAAAGTTTTAATAATATACAAAAATTGCTAACCATGAGGGGAAGTGTTTAAAATGGACTATATCCAAATCAAGGATTTCTTTTTTTTTTTTTTTTTTATTTATTTATTTATTTGTCAGAGAGAGAGAGGGAGAGAGAGCAAGCACAGGCAGATAGAATGGCAGGCAGAGGCAGAGGGAGAAGCAGGCTCCCTGATGAGCAAGGAGCCCGATGTGGGACTCGATCCCAGGACGCTGGGATCATGACCTGAGCTGAAGGCAGCTGCTTAACCAACTGAGCCACCCAGGCGTCCCCCAAATCAAGGATTTCTATCAAAGATACTGAAATGATGATCAAAGTCATCACTGAATCATCATTAGCAAATTGGAGGAAAACATATGTATCACATTTAATGAATATAATATTTACTGACTGCTATGTACCATGGACTATGCAGGATGTTCAACCGTGTGTGGGTGTGTGTGGGTGGGTGTGTGTGTGTTGGGTGTGTATATTGTGTGTGTGTGTGTGTGTGTGTGTATTGTGTGTGTGTGTGTGTGTGTGTGTGTGTGTAGGGGCTCTATTTTGTTTTCAAAGCAGTACCTGGTTCATAGAAACTCAAAAACTACTCAATACACAAAATAAATGATTAGAATTAGTAAAACATATGTAGAAATAAA